GACAGTGGAGTTCCTTACATGAAACAGTATAGATTTGCATAAACCTTCACACCACCATCACTGTATACTTTAGGTCATCTCTAAATGACTTATGATACATAATACAATAGAATCTTGTATAAATAGTTGTCAAACTGGATTGTATAGAGAATGAAATAAATAAAAAGTCTGCATATATTCAGCACAGATGCTCTTTTCTCCCCCAATTACAAGTTGTTGAAGCCACAGATGTGGAGCCGACAGACACAGAGAGCTAACTGCTTATACTTTTATTTGCCAAATTAGAAAATGATGGGAGAAACACTAAAAATAAAGGTACTATGTACAAAAGCCAAAATGAAAACAACTTTAATATATATATATTGAGACTTATTTTCTCATGTCTACATTTAAAACGTTGAGTTTGAATTTCTTCCAATGTCATGACTTACCTGTTTATCAAAAGCTACCCAAGAGGGTGCATCACCTCCATCCCCTTTAGGAAATGTACTGTACTTTGGCTTTATCTTCTCGCCAAGTAGCAGTTCTCCACCTATTCCAGGTTTCTCATCACTCACCAGCATCCTAACATTGTTGCAAAAGCCCCGATGTTGAGATTCATGGAACTTCTCCTTACCCACCTGTGAGCACAAAAGATAACAAAAAACGGTTGAAGTCACTCTATCTGATGTTTTTTAAAATAGGTAATTATGAACAATATTTATCCATAAAGTTGTGTCACATTTTACATTTATTTTAACAAATTTAAAACTTTGAAAAGCACTAAAAATAAACCTCATATTTCAGGCTATTTAAAACATTTCAAAATAATGATAACTGCAAGCGAACATTTAGAACATCAGTTTCTTAATTGGTCTATCCTACTTACTTGCAAAGAATACAGAGAAAACCTCTACTTCAGAGTACAAAGTGACTGTTTTCCACAGAAAATTAAACATTATTTTCACCAAAACTTAAAACAAAATCTTATCCTCATTAAAATCAATATAAAAGGAAATTCCTCCCAACGAACAGTCTCCTGATTGTTGAGGCCTTGCCTCCCACCGTTTTGGCGGGGTAGACAAATAGAAGGCATAGACAATGCCGGGGCTGACGAGGAGGGAGGCCAGCATCAATTTTCATTCACTGATGCTGGGAAGTCAAGAATACCCAGTGGGAACACAGAGGTGGCAACTCATGGCAAGGTGAAAAGTATGTATGTTCCATCGCCTGGCAAATGCACTCCTAAGAATCTGTGTCCAATGGGCACAAGGAACTAGATAGTAGATGATCTGTAACATCAGTGTTTGCAAGAGTGACAAGAAACATACAACATAAAGACCTGTGACTGCAGCAAAGATACCTCAGCTGTGTTCTCTTTATAAAATCAAATATTAAGAAAGGTCTACAGCTAGGCATGGTGGCATATGCCTTTAATCCCAGCACTCAGGAGGCAGAAGCAGGTGAGATTGAGGCTAGCCTCGTCTACATAGTGAGTTCCATGCCAGCAGAGGCTACAGGGAGATGCTGTCTCAAAAAAAAAAAGGAAAGGTATACAATGACATGTACTTGTATAATAAATGTCAAAATAAGTCTAGTCAAAAAATAGGCAGAGAGTAAAAGGACTATTGTTTGACTTTTCCTGGGGAGACACCTAAACCCCTATTTACCCTACACTGAGCACTGAAATACCAAAGAAACAATTTCATCCAAGTCCAGCTTGGTGTACCAATGAGCTTGTTGGGGCACTTACAAGGGTATGGATAACTCTTGGGCAGCCACATCCCCAGAAAGCCCCATCTGGGCAAGAGTGACAGCTCATGGAAGCCGCATCATTGGAGTCTCTCCCCTCGTCAACCTTTACGTCCTAAACACTCTACTTTAGCACCTCCCAAGACCACATGGAGCTGGGCAGGATTTCATGTAGTTGTGGGGAGCAGAAGGGTATGAGTGGCTGGAATCTCAAGTGAAGGTCTGTTATCCCTTCCCTCACCCTTCCAAGAGGGAATGTTAATAGATCTGATCGTGATCTTGTGAAGATTACTATGGGTAATCACTGTGGCACTGACTTCAAACCCAAATGGCCATATCATTACCAGAAAACAGGGTTCCATAACAAGGATACATAAAATGTGATAATTCCACATATACAAATACTTGAAAATACTCCAAAATATAGTATTAGTTATGGATAATTCATGCATAGAAATAACAAGTAGCAAATTCACAGTTGTATAATATCCAAGGTAATATAATATGCAACACAATCATGAGTGATATCATATAATGAATACTCACATGCCACACAGCTCTGTATAAAAAATAAATATTTCAGGTTCAATTAAAGCACTTTGTGAGTTTTGGTCTTGGGTCTCTCTCCAGGGGTAACCATTTTCCTGAACTTGCTAATTTATCTATTTAGGGGATTGCATATAGCCAGAGCAAGAGCCTCTTTCAAAGTTTGTCAGGGCAGCCTGACAGAAGTCAAAGAGATCACATATCCTTTTTTGGTGAAGATAACCTGGAAGAATCTAGAAGGGCCTGGGCAGTCTGGCAAGGGAAGCCAACAGCCATGACAGCCACCCTAGGCAGGTGACAGCTCTATTCTAAGGCTGGGGTTGAGGGGGGAAGCTAGGAGCAATGATTAGGACTGTTAACTACATATAGCCTGACTCTGTACTTTAGCAAAGCATTGCCAACACCTCCATTATTCCCCTCCCCAACAACACATACACACAATGAGGTTACCACAAGTCAATCTCAAACCACCAAAGAGCAAGGCAGAAATTGGGTTTGTCAAAATAAATAGTGGAATAATACAGATATTTATAACAATGTTCCCTCTCCTGAAATAAGTAATTGCAGGGTTTTTCGTTTCATTGGTTGGGTTTTGTTTTTGTTTTGAGACAAGATCTGACCCCGGCCTTCAAACTTGCAATCCTCCTTTCTCAGCCTCCTAAGATCTGGGACTACAGAAAAGCAAAACACCATCAAGTGTTTCAGAAGCATTTCTGTAGTACTAGATTTGTGCCAGGCGTGTGAGTTAACAGCACAGGACTCCATCCCTTCCTTGGAGAAGAGACTCAGTCTTACAGATGAAGCAAGACTTAGACACAGAAAACAAACAGAAAGCCAGAAAATAGTACAGTTACTATTCTTGACCACTTCTTATGAGCTGGACCCTTTAGTAAAGGTTTAATATATATTATTAATCTCATTTCATTGTCTCAAAACTATTTGATAAGCATTATTACTACCACATTAGTATTTTCCACGTGACCTCGAGGAAACCAGGCAGAGAGCATCAGACTAACATACCCCAGGTTGCACAGTAACCAATGCTTCCAACACCTGAGTTAAGTTCATGTCTGGCCACTGCTGAACACTGCTGTGCTGGAGTAGGAGTGCTGAGGTTCTGTGACTAACTGGCTGCTATCCTGGGCTTGGAAAATGGGACAAATTAGGCAGGAAAGGAGAGGCAAGGTTATGAGGTCCAAGTTCCAACGGCAGGAAAAGAAGAAGGTCACAGAAGGCTGGGACACTGAAGAGATTTCGAGGAGTTGTAGACAATTAAGACATTACTTGTATTCACTCTGGGCAAAGGCCACTAGGCACACAGGCACATGCTGGCACACACAGGCTGCATGTATACAGGCACAAACACACTCATAGACTAGCACACACACTGTTCAGAGGTTGGAACATAGGCTGTTTAGAGGTAGGTACACAGGCCTAAAGAGCCCCCCTCTCCACTGCCACATACATAGGCAGATTGGCCAAGGCAGAAGCAAAAGGCTCAGGCCTCTGACCTCAAGGCTATATTTATACAGAACCTACACAAATGTGGCATTCTGCCAGAACTGGTTATATAAAAAATGACATTGCTGTTTACTTTGGGGTTCAGCAGACATTCAATGCCGGCCATTTTGTGCTGACTCCCAGCCCCCAAGATGTTCAGAGACAGCCATATTTGTCTAAGCATAAACTAGCCCTTACAATCTTCTGTTTCCAACACAAGGGTGTTCCCAGCACAGGAGCACATTAGATGAATTGGCTGTGCTGAGTGTGAGGGCCAATAGGTGGGAAAGTCTAGTGAAAAGTGAAGTTCAAATTTGAAAGGAGGGTGAGCTAGAGGTGCATATCTGAGGCTTATACTATGGAAAGCCTTACACTTGAATACCTTAATAGTGTCTTCCTCAGGTATCCAGAATAGTAATTGAGCAATATTCTATTCTTTTTCCCTAACATTTATTATTTTTTTTTATGTGTATGAGTGTTTTGCCTGCATGTGTGTAAGTGTACCTGTGTCGTGTGATGCCCACCGAGGTCAGAAGAGGGCATTGGATACCCCTGGAACTGGAGTTGCAGATGGTTGTTAGCTGCCATGTGGGTGCTGGGTCCTCTCTGCAAGAGCAGTCAGTGCTTTTAAACCACTGAGCCATGTCTCCAGACCACATTCTTGATAATATACCATAAAGATTAAATCATGGCTAGCCTCTCCATCCCTTGAAGAGCTTTTTCTATTATACGTGAGTCTTCTGATAGATCCTGATTTCCATCCTTCAAAAGCCTTCATATTGTTGAAGGTTTCCTGATGCACAGAACTCCACAATTTGTCCATACTCATCTCCTCCTCAGGCAGACCTTTATCTCACAGTTTATAAAGTACCTTGAGGCCCATTCACAGTCATGTTCCTGGTCAGGCTCTCTACAAGACCTGCCTTCCCTTAAGAGTCAGCTAACGCCCACTCCATAGTTATCTCTCCCACAAACATCTGGTGAGCATCCACTTGGTGCTGAGTTCTATATAGTTTAGGGACATGGCCTTGGACTAGTACCAGCTATGAGTAGTGGACTGGAAGTCATTATGGCCTTGAATTTGACAGTCACTTCTTAGATATGGCATTAAGGTATACAATGATAAAGCCCACAGATTGAGAGAAAATATTTGGAAATCATTTTGCGTGACTAGAATTCAAAATAGAAGAACTCTTACAAACCAGCCAAAAGACAATTCAATTTAAAAAATGAGTAAAGGACTTCAACAGACCTTTCTCCCAAGAAGATATTCTGATGGACAACACATACCTGAAAAGATGTTATCCAGATTGACCTTCTGAAACTCCTGGGCTCAAGGGATCTTCCTGCCTCAGCCAACTAGCAGGGATATAGGCCTTTGCCACCACACCCAGTTTAGATGACAACATTTTTATTATTATTATTTTTATTTTATGTGTATGCATATATTGCCTGCATGTACGTAAGTGCACCCGTGTCATGCAATGAGGACAGAAGAGGCTGTCAGAGCCCCTGGAACTGGAGTTACGGACAGCTGTCAGCTGCCATGTGGGTGCTGGGATTCGAACCCGGGTCTTCTGCAAGAACAGTCAGTGTTCTTAACTGCTGAGTGCAAGAACAGTGTTCTTAACTGCTGAGCCATCTCTCCAGCCCCAGATGACAATATTTTTTAACTCTGGTACTATGGTGTGTCTTCCTTTTTATATGTCCCCCTCACCATCTAACACATTGCTCCAGACACAGAAAATTCATAAAACTTTAGTGATACATTAATTAAATGGCTGCCAAAATGAAAATTGTGGTCTAGATGAGACAGCCAGTAAGGAGCCATTAAAGTTTACCA